AACAAATCTACCAGCACTATTTTGCGTCAAATGCGTTTCAAAATGCTTTACACACGCTCTTTCTTCCTCGGTTAAATATTTTTTGGGCACTAACTCTTCCATTTTCCAAAATTCCTCAATTTTGTCCTCTAGCGAGTTATCTTGAATAGCTAAAAACACATATTCAAATCACTGTCGCGCATACTTGATGTTTCACCAACAACGATCCAATGTTTTTCCATGTTTTTTGCAAATATGGGTCATTTTGATGAGGTTTGAACTTATCAGCACACCTAATATCCCAATAGGTACCGGCACCAATTAAAATGTCTATTGTTCCTGGATTATTGAACGATGGGTCGGCTACTTTGATATTTCTTGGTATGTTTACATTATTTACCGGTGTGTTAGGTAGTAAACCAGTTATCTTTGGCAACACTAAGAAATCCATTTTTGTTGTATATGGGCTATTTAGCGATTGTATGGATGCGGTGACTTTATATTGTATTGTGCTTTTACTATTACTGATACCACTCACAGGTATATTTATTTTCATTCGCTGAAGGCCCAGTTTGTTTACTAAATTTGTTTTTATAAAATTACTTTGCGAGCCGCTATCTAAAAATGCTCGCCCATGCATATGCGTACCTGCGGCGTTGAATATTTTTATTATTGCTGTAGCCAACAGTACTTGATTGTTATCCACGCCAGTCGCATGTGCGCTTATAGATGCGTTTGTATCTGAAGTCTCGTTTTTTTTAATTTTATGTAAGAGGGAATTATGATTATCTTGACATTTTATGCATTTTCTCGCCGTACATTGCAATAAATAATGGTCGTTTTTTAAACAATTGTAACACAGTTTTAACTCCACGACCTTTCCTTTGCGAGCATCTACACTTAAAGCCAAAAAATCTAGACATTTATAAATCGGATGGGCTTGATGACACATATAGCATTTCATTCGCGAACTTGAAAGAAAGGTGAAAGATGTTTTCTTTTTTGCCATAAATTTATTTTTGCTGTTTACAACGGAATCTTCACTCTGCCGTCCCGATAAATTCCTAGCGGTTTCGATTGCCTCCAAAACCTGACATCTTTTCTCCAAAAAACCAAGTAATGCCTCGATTGTAGGTAATTTATCCCTATCAATTTCTTCTTCCAATGCCGTGTAGTGTTTAAATCCAACTTAATACAAACTACGTGCAATAAAAGTGCACCCCAATCTTTGGGATTGTGCCCTAAAGCTTGAAGCGCCTGTACATGCAAGTTCAATGAATTTGTTAATTTTCTTAATTTTGTGGCTGACTCCTTATTGATTTGTTCCAAATCAAAAATATGCTTTGTATCTGCTTGAATTAACATACGCTTATTATTATATCTTTCTTTTATTATTGACCACGCTGCCTCATAGTTGTCTGCTGTAGTTTCCAAGTTTTGTATTAATTCACCTGCATCTCCGCCTAACGAATTCCTCAAGTAATACAATTTTTGAACTTTTGTAATTGAAGTATTTGAGTGAATCATAGCATAATACATATCATGGAATGCAGACCATTCTGCATACTTGCAGAACAAACTTGTAAAACATGGGATTTCCAAAGGTTTAATTTTACCAACGAGAAATTGTCATTTTGATTTGTACCACTATTTTGTTGAGGTATTTGTGGGATATAATTTGTTTGTGCCTCTTTTAATTTGTCTTCTGCCTTTGCCATTAAGTCGAAAAACAAATCCACAAACGTATCTCGATATTGTAAGTTTTCAGTACTACTATCTCTTGCTTAGATGTTGTTTTGGACGTTATCAAACTCGTCCCATATCGCATTTATTTTTCCCATTCGCAACTTCACCTGCGTTAGGTTGGTATTTCTATTCGGGTCATTTATAAACACATTAAATTTCATCAGTTGAGCCTTTAACTGACCCCGTCTGATAACATATACCGCCAATTCGTTTGCTATCTTCTCATCCATTGCTGATACCTCTTGCTTTGAAGCTCGATCACCGCAAAGTAGCTGGGAGATCCCCACTAAGATATTATTACCGCACGCGCAATAGGCAAATAGGTATCACAGGAATAAGGAACAAAATTAGTATACAGGAAGTAGTATAGTATTTTTTATAGGAATTCTAATATTCTGAAGACTCACTTACCCCACTACTATCCTTGTACCTTGTAATTCGGGTCGATGGACCAATATGTTTGCGCCACGCAATCGACTAGCGTGTTACAAGTGGACTGTATAAATCGGAAAACTCTTTGGTTACACTTTTTAATATTTTTTAATAATAATAACACATAATTCTTATCTAATTAAAATAACCAATTTATTGTTTATTAACACAATTACGAAAAGAATCACTTATAATATTAATATTTTCGCCGGAAACGCGCCTATTTTGCTTGACCATTGGGCGGTCACTGGTCGCGAACCTACCCCCCACCACACTACCATCAATCAGCTGATTGTGCCTGAACAGTATTTTTATTATAAAGATAAACAACATATTTATATAGCGACATACTTCCTAGAATATTATAAAATATTAATAATTATTTCGACAATGTAAACATAGAAGAATCGATACTAAGTAAAACAATTTACTCTATTTTTTAGACTTAATGAAGCAGGAGGAATTAAAATTGAAGTGAGAGAAACGGACGATTATTATTATAAGTCTATTTTTGAAGTGAAAGAAGAAAAAGAGCAACAAAATACAATCGACGCGAATGGATACAAGTAATATAATTTTTATAATAATATATTTTAAATACAAGTATTGAGGTTACTTATACATTTATTTGATGTACATTTCCTTATTAACCAATATAATTTTTAAAAAATTTAATATTTTAATTACATTCAACTAAAGACAATAACATTAACTATAAACTCACTTTTTTATTATGTTTTTTTTTTTTAGTTCTTATTATAACTTAATTTTACAGATTTTCTGATTCTTTTTAATTAATATACTTTTTTAAATTATATTTTATTTTTCAGCGTTGTTGATTCGAAAATCAAAGTTGAAGACAAAACAGACGGTTATTATTATGGCATAGAGAACAAAATTGATAAAGACGACGAAGAGATGAAACAGGAATTAACTGAAACCTCTATAGAAGAAACAAAATTAGCTAATGCTGAAAAATCATATAATAGTTATGTGACAGCACAGAAAGATCTTCAAAAAACATTTGACGGAAATATATACAAGTAATTTGTTTTTCTAATTACATGTTATAACTGCATACCTAAATACAAAGTAAACGTTAAAGATCACACAGTCACTACAAACGAAGAATTGTTTTACTGATAGCGCGTAGTATACTTTTCTTTAATACTCGCTTCTTAGCAATATTGTCTATTTCATTTTTCACACTTGAAATAAATAATTTTATTTTCAGTTATAGAAAAGAGGGCAATACAACGATAGTTAAATTAGAAGCCGATATAGTGAATGGACATTACTTCGAGTCCGTGATTCAAGTGGAACATAATGGTCTTTTGAATGTGCAATCTACTAAAGACGAATTGGATGAAGTACAACAATTTGCGTGTAATTTATGTAAGAAGTCTTTTAACACCAAATGGAGATTGGCTCAGCACATAACTCGATTACATAATGCACATGCACCAACCCAGAAAAACACTAGAACACGAGTCATCAAAAAAAGTCTCGTGTAAGTAGTAAAAATATTCTTCTTATTCATTACATCTCTTATTATTTAAATAGTCACTGTATAATTCACGATATAACAATTTATTAAACTTTTAAATTAGCAGTTTAAGTTTTCATTCAACTTTCAATAAAGAAAAAAATGATAGATATTGGCAAGTAAAAACTGTGGGATATTCACATTCACATACTAATTGTTTAGTTTGTCTTGAATAGAAATTCGTCCGTAAAAACTTTAGATGTTTTCTAACTATATTTTTGAAAAACTCATAAATTGTTTTCCTTCAAAATAGAATTTATAATAAAAGAGAGAGATACTATGTTAAAAAATAGCTGCCTTTCATGCGGAATGCCGAAAAACAGCATAATTATCAATATTTTTATACATTAATAATTAAAGTCGTAAATAAATTTAATTCCAATAGAATAAAATAAATTAAAAAACTAATTAACAGACTTATCAAACACAAATTGCATAGGTGTAAGTAAAAAAAAGTAATAACATAATATGTGCAAACGTGAGAAGTGTATAATTTTGTTAAACATAAATATTTATTTTTGTATGTTTTATTGTAGGTCCACTGACACGAGTTATGAAAAGAATAAACAAATTGATAGTTGTCACGTCGGGTCTTTGGTAGAAAAAGACTGCCATAATCAAATAGCACCAAAGAATGACAATAATGATATGAAAGCACGACGAATATTCTACTGCAATTTTTGTCAAACGTCGTACCACACTAAAAAACAAATAACATTACATTTAATAAAATCCCACAAAAGTTCATTTTCTCAAAAATCGAATCGCAAGAATCACGAACGCGTGCACGCTGCAGAAAAACCCTACAAATGTTTGGTGTGTTTAAAGTCATTCTCTGCTAAAAGCACTCTCAAAAACCACGGACGCGTGCACACTGGAGATAAACCTTATAAGTGTGCTATTTGCTTAAAATCGTTTTCACGTAAAGGCTGCCTCAAAATACATGAACGAGTACACACTGGTGAAAAACCCTACAGTTGTGCTGTATGTTTAAAGTCATTTTCACATAAAAACTGCCTTACAATACATGAACGTGTACACACTGGCGAAAAACCCTATAGTTGTACTGTATGTTTAAAGTCATTTGCTGCAAAACGAAAACTCACCATACATGAAAGCGTGCACACTGGAGAAAAGCTCAACAAATGTTTGGTGTGTTTAAAGTCATTTTCTGAAAAATCCAATCTTACGAAACACAAACGAGTGCATACCGGAGAAAGGCCCTACAAATGTGCGGTCTGCTTCAAATCGTTTTCCCTAAACACAAACCTCACAAAACACAAACATGTGCATACTGGTGAAAAACCCTATAAGTGTACTGTTTGCCCAATAGCATTTTTTCGAAAAGACCACCTCGTAAATCACGAACGCTTACACACTGGTGAAAATCTCTATAAATGTGCTGTGTGTTTTAATTCGTTTACTACAAAATCAAGCCTCACAAAACACAACAAACGCGTACACACTGATTAATTACCCCCAAAAATATGTATACTTAAGTTAACTTAAAATTATACGGTAATATATTTTGTATTTTCTAGTACTAACTTAAAAATATGTATATGTGCATTACTTATATCTATCAACGTTTAATGAAACGTGATTTAACTACTTATTAATAATAATTTTATCCAATGACTATTGTGACCTATTTGTTTAAAATATATATTTATACAATTATTTGATAACTACTTTTATTAATTTTATTATTACAGTGTCAAACTTTTTTAGCTTATTTTTTTCCTAAAGCATAGACTTTTGAAGTTTTTTGGGGGTAAGTTACCCCAAAAATTTGTGAAATGCTCTGAATGCCATGATGGCAAAAATAGTCTTCATCATAAAATCCATTTAGTCTAGTCTGTAATGTTGGTTATATTCAACTGTTAAAAATATTTCATTAGAACAATATGTCATGGATAATAATAATAATAATAATGAAAGGGTCAAGAGTACGGTGGTGGTGAGGAGGTTACAGGTTTAAAGTTAGTTTAAAAGACCTGATAGGAAAATTGCCAATGGAAAAAAGTGTACAATGGATGAAATGATCCATGGTAGTAATGCATTCAATTTGGGAAAAGTGATGCTATCCCACTGCATTCTACCTCCAGCCACCACTGTTATCACTGGTGGCTAGTTTTCGCGGTGCTATCTCCACAACCATATTGTCAAGTAGGTAACAATATATTTTTTATGTTTTTAATTTACTCAAAGCGGCCGATTTGTTGGAAATGTATGTATTTATATATTTTATAAACGTATGAAAAATTAGATTCGTTGATGGATTTTATACCGGTTGTTTGGCGTTTTGGGGATCACAGCCTTGACAAACATTCCCATTGTATAATAGTAAGTACCGAGTAACATTATGGTTCTATTTATTAATTTATAACAATTAATTCGATTCTGTAGTTCCGTGTTAGGCATTGATTTTTTAAATAATTTAAACAGTTTTCATACATCCTTAAAAAAATCATAGTCAGAATTGCCATCGGTGGTCGTAGGGACGGACGATAATTGATAAGAAGTTATGTGAAGGTTTTGACTGTGTTTTTTTTGTTAATTGTGAGATCTATTTACATTTAGTGTGAATAATATATTATTGAAATGGAATGTACTGTTTTATAGTTTCTCATAGCATTACTTAATAATAACTGGATATGATCAACTGTTTGGATTGACCGTTTAATGTTTAAAAACTGATTTTAAGTGTTTACTTGACTCGAATGTAATTGTTAAATAAATTTCATATTTAAGTTCTGAACCACAATACGATACGAGCTATAAGTAATATTTTCTAAACAAAGATACTACTAGCGCATGTCCCGTATTAGTGTATAAAACTAAAATTTGTCTATCGGTTGGCTATCTAAAATATTTATCATCAATAATAGTAGTAATGGTTTAAGTTGTTGATATATATTGAAGCATTATTTTTAATTTATTACTATTATTAAATAGATATTCATTATTTTGTATGCTATTAATTATATTTTTTCCTAATTATTATAATCTGCCGTAAAAGACAAAATATTTGTTTAGTATATTTAGAGAAAGTGGTAACTAATTTATATTTTATGGAGAAAGAAAATTCATGTTGTGTGGTATTAAATTTTTTAAGAGTGGATTATTTTTTATTAGTAAGATCAGTAAGATCTTACTAATAAAAAGTCGGTTTAGTAATAACCGACTAAAATGTCAATCATTGAATCAATGTTTTGATTTTCTTGAAAAACCTCTAGGCCTCTTATTTGGCTATATTTTCCAGAAAAGTGTGCCTGCACTCGTGTTTTATTTAAATTTGTTTAGACCAGACTATAATCATTTTTAATAAAAAAAAATCTTATTTCTTGTCCTAATTTTTAAGATAAGCTTTGTTTTTTAGAGTTAACTAGTGAGAATCAGAAATACCAAAAATCACTACTAAAATGGATGATTATAACGGGACCATGATCAAAATAGAAGAAGTCGAGGACGTAAAACAGTATTTCAACAAAGTCTTAGTGAAAAATTCAAAGCTGAATCACATTAAAAAAAAACTCAACAGTTCTCGGACAAACTATAACGATTATCAAAAAAACAATTGACGGGTATGCATATAAGTAATGTATTTTTAAAGTTAAATACATTTTGTTGCAAAAAAATAAAACAATAACTTAATTTAAATTAGGACAGGCAATCTTTTGCGAACTATTTCATGTAATAGTCTGGTTAAATTTTAAAGGTGTCGACTGTGGGTTTTTTTGTTCATTGTGAGTTCTATTTACATTTAGTGTGAATAATATATCAATGGTGACACGGCAAAAGAGTCTAAGCAACATGTTTCATAGTTTTCAGGATGGCCACTAAACGTTCTTTTTGCGATTTTACTATTTTTTTTTTTTTTTTAAGTTCCTAATAACTTTTTTTTTTAGTAAGAATTGGGAATTTTTTAATCATATAATTATATTATAATATAAATGAAGTATAATATATTTTTCTAACCAATAGTATAAGCCGTGTCGCTTTAACCCAAATATGCAAGTTGTTATTTCATTAAAATGACATGAGTGTGTTTTAATTTCAAACCATTTTAACGCCATTGTATAAACTTACTAAATGATAATGAACCGAGATAAATTTTAGTTTTGAACAACAATACACAGCTACTCTAGTAGTATTATTTTCACTGTAAGCGCTATTACTAGCACCCGCCCGCCCCGCACAGAGCGTACAGTTTATTAAGTAGTCATTGTTTTTATATTAAAAGGTACCTTTTTTTTCTTAAAAATATAATATGACTAAAAAAAAATATATATATTTTCATTTAAAGAAATTCAAACAAATTTATATTTTATGGAGGAGGAAAATAGTATTTTATATAGGAAGTAGTATGATGGTAGGAAAACAATTATGATTATGGTTGTATTATTTAGTTAAGTCAGCTAAAGTAGTATTATATTTTTTTAATAATTTGGATTGTTTTTTACTGGTTATAATTAATTCTTCTTCGTAGTTAACGGGCTTCAAGACCGTACTGTCAAACATATGCCACGCCATCTTTCCCTTTCCATTGCTAGGATTTTCCAATCTCTATCCGGTTGAACCCGCTCCACATCTTTTGAAACCCCGGTCTTCCCACCTCAACCTTGGTCTACCGAGTGGTCCCACACCTTCCAGAGAATTACATAGTATCAAGTGTATGAGGGAGCTTTCCTTTCGCCACGCATGGCCGGCCCATTAGAGCCGCCTCTTTCTTATCTAAAAAAATTATAAGCATTTGTAAAATGTGAAAACTGAGAAGGGTATAATTTGTTTAAACATTTTTATTTATTGTTCGGGTATGTTTTGTTGTAGGGTCAGTAGAACAAGTAACGAAAGAAATAAAAAAAATTGATGTTTGAAATCATTTTTAACCAAAGCCAACCTCACATCACAAGAACGTGTACACTCTGGCGAGAAGCCTTACAAATGTGCGGTTTGCTCAAAAGTCGAAATTTGCATATCATAATCAAGTACACACTGGTGAAAACCCGTACAGATGTGATGTGTGCTTCAAGTAATTTTTTGAAAAATTCACGTCATTTAAAGTGATATTTTCTAATCAAATTATATTAATAATATCATTATAAACACGATCCCTGATGATGAAATATTTGATTTTGGCATTAACTATTACCAACTCTATACTAACAGCTTGAAAAATAAAATTTCCATTAGCGATCGTAGTTTACACTATGACCTTATAAATAAATTTTCTGAAAAAAATATACTTCTATTTAATTTTATACGTATATAATTTTAAAATGACGATGATGAATGTACCGTAGAATTATGTGCCGAACTATTTATAGTATATAGTAATAATATGTGTATATTATTTTATTGTAATCATTCTAATCTCCAATATATATTCAAGTTATCATAACGATTTAATTTTAAGCAAGTATTTAAAATATAATAATAATTTTACATTGCGCTGTTTATTTTTTCATACTACCTAACAATAATTAAACTTATCTCGTATGGAATAAAAACATATGGTATAATTTATTCTTGTCAAATAAGTAATATTTTTTCAGTGTCAACTAAATGTAAGAATACATTTATAATTTATGATAAAAATTTAATTTAACTAATATGGTTCAAAGTACGGTAAGTTTATTATCACACAAATTTAATAGGTGTTAAGGAAATTGTTGTATCATGTAGCTATATCTTTTAACTAAATTAATAATGATTATTTTTATAAATTAACTTTAAATGTGTTATAGGTATTACATTCGATATAAAACAAAAATATGTAACATCTACATATTATTATTATAAGATCAAAAAAAATGTATAGCTATGTAATATGTTTACTTAATAATTCTCTACATATATGTGTGTGTGAATGTTATACAAAATTCTAATCACAATTTACCAAAAGTGTTAATCAAAGTATTGAAGGAAAAGCGAAATATCTCACAACAAATAAATAACAACATTTATTATTTTTTACCATTGTAATTTATTATCAAATTATCAATTTATTGCGTTTGGAAAAACATACACATAAGCGCGTTGAACTATTTTTATCTGCGCGCATTTTTCTACCGCACTCCACCTCCAAACAAAATGTCCATCTTGAATTTTTTTTAAAAATGTAACCAAAATAATAATTAAAAAAAATAAAACAGTTGAGTGCAATAAAAAACGTAGTGCTTATAGCGCAAATGAGTATAAATTATTAAAAAAAAAATCTTTAAGTATTCACTAGAACCAAAGTTATTTAATTTGTCAAATCATTGTGGGCCGCCCTGTATGGTATTATGATATTGTAAAATCATATGATCAATCTATTTTTAAAATACCCTTGCAATTCTAGGCACTCCTTCCACCACTCTTTGAAAATTTGAAATAATTTATTTCACTATTGAAATCACATTTGTAGTGATATTAACAAGTAATAAAACTGTGTTAAATATCTGGTAATAAGTTATTTTTTTATTTTTTAGGAGGGAAAAGGGTTTAAACTAACCAAAAACAGTTAACTACTGAATTTTTGAAACATTGTGTATAAATGTGTAGTAATAAAAAAATCTTTCACTCCGTCTAGACTAATAGATACATCCAACTATATGATATTATTTTCTAACTTAATTCATAATTATTGTTTGTAAACATTTTCACCATGAGTACACTTCTTTTGTAGAAGCTCTACCGGTAGGTCCAATGTTTTACATTTTTAATAAAAATTAACAACACACTTGACACAATAAAATAAAATTAAGTTAGAACTTTTACTGGTTATAAGTTCGAGAAACTAAGCCGGATCGAGTTGAAATTTATTAGTAATATTTATTTGGTATGCCCGCACACGTCAGTTGTATCAAATTTGAATTAAACCTATTTCCAACCCCCCTAGGGGGGTACAAGTTTTTTGTGTTTTTAGTCGTAATTTCAAGACCTTTAAGTTGAAAATTTGCCAGTGTTTAGAACTCGTATGTATCCATAACATATTAAACGGAAAACAAATTTGCCACTACAGTTTTTCTTTAGTTTCCGGAAAACTGTGTTTTTCGCAGATTGCGTACATTTTAACAAAAAACCCTAAAATCTATAAAAAAAAATGTATCAAATTTTTTTATTTTTTATTATTACAAACATGGTGTACCAGATGTGAGAAACGAACAGACGCTAATAACTGTCGGTTGGTAACATCGACCCGTGTTAGGATAGGTAAAGACCCAACGGTCGGTTTCATACTATTGTGTTTACTAGTAAGGAAGTTGTAAACAAGTTGGTCCGGATGACCATTGAGTTTAGTGTGGAACCTTGCACAGTAGATTATGGCAGTTTAGTGAACTGTTTTGTCGTTTAAGTATGAACAATTACTTCGATTAATGCAAACGCGACTATTTGTGTATTATAAAAATAAAAAAAATAATAATCAAACTTATTAAAAGACTACGGCTCTTTTAAATTATATTATAAACTTCAAAGTCCAATGAAATTCTATTTTACTAAAAAACAAAAAGTAGATTAACATAAATAAAAACAATAAATTCATACAAGTTGCTATAAGATATTGCAAAATCGCCATTCAATTTATGTAAACAGTGGAAATGGGAACGCACATCGAACAACCCAAGTGTTTTTCTATAGAAAAAAAAAATTGCATTTTCGAGTCAATGCTTAGGCGAGAATTCGATAAATAATACTTAGAAACCATAGAAAATCGTACATATAAATCTTCTTTTACTTTTGAACTCTGTGTAACTTTTGAAACACATGCGACAATGTGCGAAATTATACATAATCCTCTCTCTCTAACAATTATTAAAATAATTTATACACCTATGCAATGGTCTTATCATTTATGACTTATTGATTCGTATTGGCCTAAAACGGAACCCCTAATTTGTTGAAAATTGTCCACCATCTTTTATGGTCTCTGCCGTTTTAAATATTTTTAAATTGAGCGCAACACGAAGCAGCAATGGGTATTTTTAAAATTGATAAAACAAATTTTTTTGAACCCAAACCGAATGTTTTCGTCATGGTTTAGAGATGGAATGATTACGCTTTAGAATAATTGCAACTTTCTAGTATTCCTTTTTTGAAAATATTTTTGGTTATCATATTTTACAATATTATTAAAATACTAAACGTCAACATTTTTATAAATTATTTTCCATAAGCCTAACAACTTTTAAAAACTTAAATATTGACTTGTGTACATATTTAATTTACTATTTAAACTAAGAATAATTTTCTGAATAGTATAACGATCGATAACCAGTTTTGGCTAATCACTTTGGGAGTTATTAAACATTACAATTTAGGACAAGAGGAAGAGTGGAGTGAAATATTATTTTTTCTGCTTGCACTACGATTCTGTACAAATACTGAGCTGTGAAAAAAAAATAGAAAAGGTATATGTTTAGTAATAATTTTATAATATTGTAAAAGTACACCAACTTAAGTGTCTCCGATTATTATAAAAGCTACAAAAATGCTATTATTTTAAGAGAAAACTACTGCCCCGTCCTTAATGAATCAATCAATTTTCTAGTGTATTTTGAATAATGGAAAATAGTAGAATAACATGTTTTTGTAATGTACTCGGAGGTACACTTGTATTAATATTGGGCGTTTGCGAATTTAGCAAAATAACGATCGGAAAGGCATAAAACTTTTTCTAAGGGTCTAAAAAGAACTTTAAGTTCCTGGCGTTAAAAAAAAATATAATACTGCTACAGTTTTTTATACTTAAGCATAATAAATCAAGACTGTCTCATTTCGATTCGAGGCGTTTTAACTTTCAACTTGATAATAATTCTTAACCAGATGGCGAAATAATAACAAAACTGCCACATGTTGTCTATATATTAAAAAAAAACTAATCCTAATTAATTTTTATCACAATTGTTGCTATTTGAGTACATTTTTTAAATACTATGGACATTTTAAAAGTAACAGTATTTGGTTTGTTTGATTATCAAACCGCAAAAAACAAAATTTATGACAAAGCAATACTAGTTATAGTTTTTTTTATATTTTCAAAATTTTAAATTCAATTCCTCCCGTTTTTCCAGAATCTCGCAGAAAACAATTACAGTGATAGATATCCAGTTATTGTCTGATAAATATGAATATAATTTTTAGACAAGTTCAAAAAATTTGTTTTTTTATTGCCTGCACAAAAAAAGTGGGCACATCTCGGTGAAAACAAGTATTTTTTGGCTAGTCGCAATTGTATACTTCATTATCTATTTAAATAACACTAGAAAATGGACTATTTTTTTAAAATTAAGCATTACTTAGTACATTTTCAAGACACGTGGTTCTAACTACTGGCGATTAGAAACATATGAAAAGACTTTCGAGGTAATAGCTATAGTTAAGTTTTGACTAATTAAAAAAAAAAGTTGTCTTTCCTTAAAATTTAGGGGGAGATTTCGTTTTTACGGGTTTAAGTTTGTAGATTGCAATGAGTAAGGGTCAACAGCTGGTATCTGAAATATATTTGCATTTTGATGTAGGTTTTTTTTGTGTCTGTATATGCGTTGTAACTTTATTTTTACTGGATCACTTCCTTCGAGTAGCAACTCTATAAATCGCAAATGTTATCTAGTTGGCGACTTTAAGGGAGTAAAAATTGAAAAAGTTCACTTCTTTGCGGTTAAAATTTAAAAAAATACCACAGTATTTAAGTTTCAAGTTTTATAGTTTTTTATAGTTTTAAGTTTCAACTTTTACTGGCTATAATTTCCAGAAAAATGGTCGAATCGAGTTGAAATTTCTAGAGAGGAATATTTACTTGAGATTTAAATTTAAGTTAGACCCATTGCGGCGGGATGCAAGTTGTTTTTTGGGTTTTTAGGACCTTTTAGTTAAAAACTTGTCCGGAGTAGAACTCTTATGTGTACACATAACATGTTAAATCTAAAAAAAAAAAATTTCAAATCATTCCAATATTTTTATAGATACTCCTTAAAGTGGCCCCAGTATGTTTTGAGTGCTCAAGTACCAGTTTAAGGTTTTAATTAATTTTTTAAAAAGTGAATTTATCACATTCAATCAGCTCGGCCCAACTCGAGTCCCCACCCAAATTGTAATGGATTTTTTCTTTGAGAATATCCGTCGATAGCCATACTTAAGTTTAGTATATTATCCGATACGATAACATTTTCAAGTTTAGACTATTTGCTATGACCTTCGAATTTTCGAAGTAAAAAGTAACACTAAGATGTGCAACAAAAATAATGAGAAATTCGAACATTGACAATTTCATGTATTGTTTTTGTCGTTCGATCGACGTATTTTTCTGCTTAAAATTTACGAAAATTCATCGATGGCAAAAATAATGACTAAAACATTCTCATGTGTGCACAAGTGTAAGTTTTTCGATTTCTTATAACCTTATAGCATTTTCTGTACAAAAAGTTTCATCAACCAAATCGCACAAGGAAAACCCCGAAATTTCCACACCGTCCCTCCGCCTGGGAAAAAGGCTAAAAGTTTTTAAAAAAAATGGTTGGCGCAATTTTAAGATTTAACAACTACCAAGTCAAACTAATTCCAAATTTGTGTGGAACTTAAACGGTTTCCAATAGAAAAGCTAGAATTTTTTTCTTTATTTCACTTTTCGAAGAAAAGTTTTTAGGGATTTAGGTCGGGGAAATTAGACCTAAGGTATATTATCTAGAATGGAACTAACATTTTTCTCAAAAAACTCTGTGATCAAACTTATTTTTTAATAAGGAAACCCCCCCCCCCAAAAAAAAAATGGGGAAATTACACTTTGACAGTAGTCAATTTCTAGGTTGCTATGTCTGAGTGAGTAAATAGGCAATGGAAATATTTCGTTATATTGTTAACAACGATATATGGGTTATTATAGCAATACATGATCAACAGTATCGCTATATTAAATATTGAATCGCACATCACAAAAAGTTTAGAGCATGATGACATACTAATCGATGAGTATAGCTCCTTTAAAGCTTGCGAAAAAATAATGCACATATTGTAAATATTAATTGCTTTGTAATTTGTGGATAATAAATAAACTAATTTTATATTTGTGACTAATTTATAAAGATAACATAATGTTTAAACTCTGCTTTCTTTTTTACTACCGAGAGCATTCAATTATTTAGTCACTCTTACATTATTATAAATTCCAATGTAGAGGAGAAGTTTTATCTAACGACAATTGTTTAATTGAAATGTTTTATTAAATAGTCCAAGTCAACTGGTTCCACCAGAGATTACAAAAAGTGAATACATATTACATTTAGAACAAAAATGTAATAAATGTAACCTTAATCATATCCATCTTTAAACTAAACATTAATTTTCGAGCACATAATTGTTATTAGGTACAATGCTCTTATTGATATTTGTATTTTTATCTGTGATCACCAGATTGATCTTTGAGGCCCAAATCTGTGTTTCGAAACCATATTATGTGAGTTTTTATTTTATGCTCTAAATTTTTGTAGTAAATGCGTATACATTACACGGTTAGTAATATTTTTTTTTTGCGTTTTATTTACCTTAAATTCGTATAGGTATGAAAAACATATGAGTCATAATAATACACATAAAAAGCTCCTTAATGGTAGATGTACTCAGATTTTTCATACATTATTATAATATACTATTATTTATAAAATAATAAAAAAAAATTTTAATTATTATGAATACATATATTTTTTTTTGTATTGTATTGTATTTTATTATCATCCATATTCCTACATTTGGTTTTAGAACACCTAAAAATGTCTACATCCGGTCATGAATAATGTTACTATATTATTTTTATATTGAAAATTTAAAACCTTTATCATTACTTTTCTAAATAATTTTATATTCACTGTCTTAAACGGGAAAACGTATTGAAAACACGTTTTAAGTTGTATTATTTATTTAAATAAAAAAGACTTACTTGTTTCGATTTGTTGTTTGTATACTTGTTCAAACAGTTACAGTCATACACCTATGTCCTAAATAAGAAAATTTTCAAAAACAACATCTTTTATCATCGACCTAGTTATATAATTTGAAGTCTCCAACGTTAAAACGGTTTTGATATTATTATATTTTGGGTCCATGCATTTTTTACTTGAGTATAGTTAATTTGTAGGGCAATTGTCCTTATTCCGAGTTGAGTTTTATAAATGTATAGAAAAAAATTATATTTTAATACTTACAGAATACTGGAATAATAATAATAATAATAATAATGGAAGTCGATTGTTTCATTTACATCACAAAGACAAATTTGAGCAAATAAAATAGGATGTAAACATAATATTAAATAAAATATCATCAGTCGATTTCAACAGTGACCTAGAAAAGTTATTTTAATTATTTCAAATATTTTTTCAGAATTTAAATCTGACCATCCTGAGTTGGTGTAATTATGTCAGGCTTTTAGGCGTAAAATGTCCAACAAACAGGTCACTTCAACCCCCAGGGTCAACACCTATTCACTAGAATCAAACTTATAATTTTTACAACAGTTTTTGGCTACCATGAATTCTGACTTAAGAGCATTTTCTTCAATACCTATCTAATAAGTAAGCATGCTGTTCCCAATACACGTCCAAACAAGATTGGCAATAAATTATTGTTGAGATTAATTGTAGTGGAACACAAAAGAAATAACAAACAAACACTTTGAGTAATAATAGAGTTAATATTATAGACACAAGTTAAACCAATAATAACAATACAATATAGATATATGTATAAGTCAGAAGTAACAAGCACATTAACAAAATAGTAGCTGTGGAACGAGTGTGTCCCCTTGTCCACATACAAAGGTATTTATATCATAAATCTAGGTTAAATCAATTCATACAAAATACTTTCTAAGATTTCACATACAATAGTGTCTTCCTCGACATACTAAACTAATCACATTAAAACTACCTTAGAATATTAATTACATTTCAACACTCTCCCTTAATTAATATTTTCCTTAATTAACTATTGTCCCAACACACTTGAAACCAGTTGTGGATATTCATAGCTGATCTGATCATCTCGAATCGTTCCTTTGGCAATGGTTTGGTGAAGATATCTGCCAACTGATCCTTTGTCTCCTTGTATTGAAGTTGAAACACTCCATCTTCATACTTCTCACGAATGAAGTGATGTCTGACATCAATATGTTTAGTTCGTTTGTGAAACTCTGCATTCTTAACTAAACGAATAGCACTTTGATTATCTATATATAATATTGGTTGAATACATTCATTATTAGTGATTTCCTGTAATAAACGTTTAAACCAAATGATCCCTTTTACTGATTCTGCCGCAGAAATGTATTCAGCCTCACATGAACTTAAACTTACTGTTGATTGCCTTTGAGATTGCCATGCTATTGTAGAAGAACCTAGCATAAAAAGGTTGCCTGACGTTGACCTTCTTGTCTGGACATCTCCAGCAAAATCTGCATCTGTATAGACACTAAAATCTGAGTTATTTTCAGTTTTATAGTACAATCCAAAATCAATCGTTTTGTTTATGTAACGAATAATTCGTTTTACCATAATCCAGTGAGCTACCGTTGGATTGGATAAATATCTACTCACGTAGCTGACAGCATAACTCAAGTCCGGTCTGGTTACTTGTGATAAGAATAATAAACATCCGACCGCTTGTCGATATGGCACATCCTTACCAATTGGTTTTGATTCTGTTTCTAATGCCGTTGCCCTGTCGAATGGAATCGCCAACTCTTTTGCGTCTTGCATATTAAAACGTCTAACTATGTTAAAAGCATAATTTGATTGATGACTTATTAACGATCCATCGTTCAATTTTCTTATTTGTATCCCAAGAAAATAATCTAAATCATTACTTTTGACCTCAAATTCCTGTTGTAAAGTTGATAATAAAGACTGAATCTTAGATGAACTATTTGACATAACTAATCCGTCATCTACATATATACCCAATATTATCTTATCATTACCGTCTGCCCTTCGCCATGCAGATATTTCATTAGCACACCTCGCCCGTGCTTGTTCTTCTGTTTCAGTGGATGTTTTGACTAACCTTGGTTTTGGTATTTCTCCGCTAAGTATTCCTTCCAGGTCAAAACTGTTCACAATGACCCTTATTTGGAATTTCCATAACAGCCATCCTTCTGCACTGGATAACTTAGTAATCTTGACCGAATCTTCCATGACGTCGATCGAACTGTACAATTGTCTGTACCAAGAAATATTACCTTTAGTCAGTAAGTATGTATTGGTCAGTATTCGATGTTTGACTTTTGAGTATCGTGGTCTGGGCCCATAACCTGTTGAGATTAATTGTAGTGGAACACAAAAGAAATAACAAACAAACACTTTGAGTAATAATAGAGTTAATATTATAGACACAAGTTAAACCAATAATAACAATACAATATAGATATATGTATAAGTCAGAAGTAACAAGCACATTAACAAAATAGTAGCTGTGGAACGAGTGTGTCCCCTTGTCCACATACAAAGGTATTTATATCATAAATCTAGGTTAAATCAATTCATACAAAATACTTTCTAAGATTTCACATACAATAGTGTCTTCCTCGACATACTAAACTAATCACATTAAAACTACCTTAGAATATTAATTACATTTCAACAATTATTTTCACTTCACAATAGCTATTTGTGTCTTAACCCTTTTTTGTGAAGTACGAAAACCGCAAAAAAGTAAAACATTTTAGCTTCGATGCAGAGCGGCAATGCAGATTGGTTTTACTCTGATGTGGACTTTTTTTTTCATCTGTATACACTGTAACTTTTTTAATACTGAATCAATTCCTTCAAGTAGCAACAATTCTATAAATCACGAATTTCATCTAGTTTATACTTTAGAAGGGGGGGGGGGGTAAAAGTTAAAAAAATGTTTACTTCTTCACAATTGAAATTTGAAAAAACAAAAAAAACCGTACAAGTTTTTAATAATCGATCATATTTTCGCTGTAGTGTTGATAATATAATTGAATATGTTGATAAGCCCGCGATTTTTAATATTTATCTTCACAGTATTCTACCTCCAGCCGGCCATCGCGGTTGCCACTGTTATCACATATTCACACTAACACACACATCATTATCAAGTATGCGTAGCGTCTGTAACATAATGTATTTACTGTCTCTGACTTACTCAAAGTGACTGATTTGTTTGAAACGGTCTAAAATAGTTGTTTGTTTATGAACATAATATTAAAATAATAAACAAAAATTCAGTGCGTGGTTTTATACCTGTCGTTTGACGTTGTTAGGGATCAGAGCCTTGACGAACAATCTCATCGCATTACTGTGTAATAGTAAGTACCGAGTAACATTATGGTTTTATTTATTGATTTATAACAATTAATTAGATTATTTAGTTTATCGGGTGGGTGAATGAATTTTAAAAAATTTCAATGTTTGTCGAGTAATTTGACTTGTAGAGTGAGATGTGCCGTCAGTGGTCGTAGATACGATAATTGATAAGAAGTCACGTATAGGAGTCAACTGTGGTTTTTTGGTTAATTTTGAGCTCTATAATATAGAATAATATAATATATTGAGTTCTATTGTAGTGTAAATAAAATTCTATTAATATGTGTACTGTGCAAATTGTTTTAAAATTCCTCTTTATTACTATCTGTAATGTTTTTACTTTACCAATTAAATTAGGTAAATTTCTCAGATTAATATATTATTACAAAGCAATCAACATTTTGTTATGGCAAAAAAAAGATAACATTTATCATAGTAGTATTTATTATAAAAATTACAAGTTACGTTTATATGTTCATTTTATAAATCATTTTTTACATTGTGTGAGTGTTTTAATTTTGATAACGGTTTAATGTATAAAAATTGTTTTAATGTGTTTACGTGACTTGAATGAGTTTTAATTTCAAACCGTTATAATATCATCTTATTAAAATACTAGATGATAAAAAACTAAGACAAATTTTAGTTCTGAACTACAATACAGAATGGGCTATTAGTATTATTTTCAATGAAAACGATACTATTAGCGCCCGCCCTGTATTAGTGTATAAAACTAAAATTTGTCTATCGGTTGGCTATCTAAAATATTTATCAATAATATTAGTAGTAATGGTTTGGTTAAAGTTGTTAATATCTATTTAAGCATTATTTTTAATTTATTGCTATTATTAAGTTGATAGTCATTATTTTTTAAGCTAAAAATTATATATTTTTTTAACTATTATAATCTGCCATAAAACAAAAAATATTTATATGTATTTAGAGAAAGTGGTAACTAATTTATATTTTATGGAGAAAGAAAATTCATATTGTGTAGTATTACATTTTTTAAAAGTGGATTTTTTTTTATTAGTAAGATCTTACTCAATCGACTAAAATTTCAATCATCGAATCAATGTTTTGATTTTCTTGAAAAACCTCTAGGCTCTTATTTGGCTTTATTTTGCAAAAAAGTGTGTCTGCACTGGTGTTTTTTTAAATTTGTTTAGACACAGGCTATCATCCTTTTTAATAAAAAAAATTGTTATATCTTGTCCTAATTTTTTAAATACACTTTGTGTTTTAGTTAAACTAGTGAGAATCAGAAATACCAAAAACCAGTACTAAAATGGACGATTATAACGGGACCATGATTAAAATAGAGGAAGACGAGGACGTAAAACAGTATTTCAACAAAGTCTTAGTGAAAATACCTGAGCTGAATCACATTAATGATATACGCAACAATTCTCCGACAAACCATAATGGTTATCAAAAAACAATTGACGAGTATGCATACAAGTAATGTAATTTTTATCCTATCTTTCAGTCATCCCTATGCTTGACGCCCAGTATACGTATTATGACTTTGATAATGCTAACTATGAGAGGATTATTCATAAGTTAGAGAATACTGACTGAAGTAGTGTCTTTAACTCAAAATCGACTGATCAATCTGCTGAATTTTTTCATAAGTTTCTGCTTGATAGTATTTATGAGTGGGTTCATTTACGTATTTAAATAAAATAAAAGCAATGCAATTTAGTCTATATTTTAAACTATTAGATATAGTCTTATTTGTGTTAAATACTTCAATATGGGCTTTAAATATTTAAAAAGAATAGGAAAAATTGTGGCGAGCAACAATACAAATTCATCACTGCCCGGAGAGACTAGTGCGATAACCGACCATACAGGTTTTATGAATATTACAAGCGTATCTGCTCGCGTTGCTTATTTAATAAACTATATTGTTCAACTCATTATAAATATTTTAATACATTGTAAACCACTTTCACTAAAAGTACATTTATGGCTATAACAAACGACATCAACTATAAACTAACTGTTTTATTATGTCTTATAATAAATAACCTAATTCAAATGAGGGCAGACATTCTATGCCAGCAACATCCTAGGAGTATAGATGGTTATATTAAAACAATTTATCTTAGGATAGTCTGGTTCATATTCAAATAATTGTATACTTTTCCATAAAATGAGCAGTTAAATTTACATTTAGTGATAATTATTGTTTTATATACCTACATTCTTCCCAAAACAGTCTATTTATTTACACTAAAAGTAAACATAGAAAAATCGATACTAATTAAAAAAATGTACTCTATTTTTTAGACTTAATGAAGCAGGAGGTATTAAAATTGAAGTTGGAGAAACGGGCGATTATCATTATAAGTCTATTTTTGAATTAGAAGAAGAAAACAAACAAGGGCAAGAGCAACAAAATACAATCGACGCTAATGAATACGAGTAATACATTTTATAAATAATATCTAATGTAATATGAACATTAGAGTATAGTTAACTTTGCCAAAACATCAGTTTGAACTCCATGCAATTTTTTTAATACTAAACAAACATTTAAAGTTGTTAAGCTGTTTTGCTAAACTGCTATTTTGGATGTGGCTTTTCCTTTTAAATTATTACTCGTTTTTAGCTTATTTAAACTTGTTCGTTTTTGGAGCCTAGTACGATAACTAACCATACAGGTTTTATGAGTATTACAAGCGTATCTCCCCGAGTTGCTTATCTAATAAAAATACAATGTTGGAAATATTATAAATATTTTAATTTATCGCAAACAAACTTCACTAAAAAGTAATTTTAAAAACAACATCAACTATAAACTTACTGTTTTATTATGTCTTCTTTTTTAGTTATTGTAATTTTTTAAATTATTTTATAATTATTCAGGTATTCTGAATCAAAAATCAAAATTGAAGTGGAAACGTATGATAACTACGATACAGTGTTCAAAATTGATAAAGTCGACGAGGGGAACAATGAAATAACTGAAACCTTTACAAAAGAAACAAAATCGACCAACATTGAAAAATCCAATAATAGTTGCGTCACAGCACAGAACGAACTTCTAAAATCATTTGACGGGAATATTTATAAGTAATTATTTTTAAAATAAATATTGTAATATTAAATTAAATATTGTGATAATAAAATATCGCACAGTCACCACAAACAAAGAACCGTTTCACTGATAGCGTGTAGTACATCATTCATTAACATGCATTACTCGCTGCTGGTATTATCTATTTAAATTTTGATATTTTAATTAAATCGTTTTTAGTAACAGAGAAGTGTGCAATACAACGTTGGTTAAAGTCGAAGTTGATTTGGTAGATGGACATTATTACGAATCCTTGATTGAAGTTGAAGAAAATGGGCTTTTGGATTTGCAAACGACCGCCCAACGCATACCTCTATCACATAGTGCATATTCATCGACCCAGGAAAGATCTACAAAACAGGTCTTCAATAAAAATATTTTGTAAGGCAATACATATAACATAATAAATTATCACTGGTATATTAAATTTAATAAAAAAAGTAGAGAGTTGCGAGTAAAACCCTGAGAGATATTCAATTTTTTTCTTCTTCTTCTTCTTCGTAGTTTACGGCCTTTAAGACCAAACTGACAAACACATGCCATGGCATCTCTCTCTATCCTGCGCTAGGACTTGCCAATCAGCATCCGGTTCAACCCGCTCCACATCTTTTGACACCTGGTCTTCCCACCTCAACCTGGGTCTACCAAGTGGTCTTACGCCTTCTGGAGAGCCACATAGTACCCTGTGTATAAGGGCGCTTTTTTTTCGCCATGCGTGGCCAGCTCAAAAGAGCCGCCTCTTTGTTATATCGTCGACTATGTTTGGTTTCTGATATGGCTCCCTGATCTTCACATTATGTCTAATTCTCCATTCTCCTGTATTCCTACAAAAGTTCTATACAGTTGTACCTTTAGACTCTTAGACAACAATCTTTTGACTTGAACAGCTTGTCCAATCCAAAATAGCATCTATTGCCTGCCTGTATTCTTGCGTTTATCTCCTCTTGTATTTCATTATTCCGAGTTATAAGTGTACCTAGGTACATGAACTTCTGAACTCTATTACACCGAGAGATATTCAAATTTTTATAGGAATTATTGAATTTGCTTGAATATAGAGTTTCGTAATTGTATCTTTATCAATTTTTATAGATGATCCAAAATTATATTCAGTTTTGTAAAACCAACAAATTTACATCTCTCAATCTCTCAAAATAAAAAATTAAGCAGTAATATAGAAATGTGAAAAGAATATTACTTTTTTAAACTTTTATTTTTTTTAATCTAACCGTTTTGTTTTGTTTTAGCGTACACTCTGATGAGAAGCCCTACAAGTGTGAGGTGTGTTCTAAGCCATTTTCAAAAAAATCTGGCCTAAGAGATCACGAGCGCGTGCACACCAGGGAAAAACCTTATAAGTGTGCTATTTGCTTAAAATCATTTTCACGTAAAAGCTACCTCTCAATACATGGACGAGTACACACTGGCGAAAAACCCTATAAATGTGCTGTATGTTTTAAGTCGTTTACTGATAAATCATACCTTACAAAACACAACAAACGCGTACACTCTGATTGATTACCCTCAAAAAAAATGTTTACTCAAGTTTATTTTCTCAATAATCGAAGTTTTTAAATTTTAACTTAAAATTATATAGTAATATATTTTTTATTTTATTACTAACATAAAAATGTGTATATGTGCGTTACTTATTTCAATCAATGTTTATTGAAACGTGTTTATATACTTCTGGAGCAAAATGTATTTTTAATTATATTGTTGGATATTGTGTTTAATCAGTGCACGTTAAATATCGGAAGCTACTAGACACTAGTATTTGTAATGATTAAACAAAACTACATGTTAATAATAATTTTATATAATGACTATTGTAATTTGTTTAATATATAATATATTTATACAATTATTTGATAACTCCTTTTATTTATTTATTACCAGCTTTCGTCACCTGACGTTGCCCGGGATTTAGTTTGCCAGGGCTAAGTAAAATTAATATATATATATAATCGGTATAAGTTATACATTAATGAAATTTTTTGAAAAAACATTGAAAAATCATATAATAGTTGCGTGACAGAACAGAACGATCTTTTAAAAACATTTGACGGGAATATATATATACAAGTAATTATTTTTTATATAATCGGCTCACGGAGGAGGAGTGGCCGAGTGGGTAAGGCGGCAGTGTGTTAGCGCTCACTGTCGCCGGTTCGACTCTCGGTCACAGGCGCTCCGTTTGCTGGGCGAGCAATCGTCCGGTAAAAAGGAACCGCCATCCCCCTCTCCGGCGACGGATTGACGACCCGTCCGGAAGCGAATTCGTCAAGAAACCATCTCATGATGGCAGCGTTTGGGCCTTCATGGCCCGTTAAGCTACATGATGATGATGATAAATATTGTAACTAAATACCTAAGTATAAAGTAATAATAAAATGTCGCACTGTCACTACAAACGAATAATCGATACACTGATAGCACCTAGTACACTTTTCTACCATAATATTCATTACTCGCTTCTCAGCAATATTATATATAGTTATGTGATCCAGCACACAACTGGATTACATAGTGCACACGCATTAACCCAGTAAGGCAAAGTTTAATTTAATGTAAGTTATCACTTGATTTTTCGTTAAAATAAAGAGACGAAAAAGTTCTTCTTGTTCTGTACATTACATAGTATTTATTATTATTAAAAGTACTGTTTAATAATTCAAAAACTTTTTTTATAAATCTACAGTGTAAGTTTACGTTAAATAATAAGTAATACAAAAAAAAAAAAATTAAGTAAATAGAGAGCGCAAGTAAAAAACCTGAACGAATTAATGAATTTGCTGGAAAATAGAGATACGTCTCCAAGTTCTTCTTATATTTTCTTATTGTATTGTTATCTATAATTCTATCTATTTATCCAGATGACTCAAATTTATTAAGGTGCACACTGGGTGAAACCCCAATAAATGTGCCGTATGTTTTAAGTAATTTACTACAAAATCAAACCTCACAAAACACAACAAACCCGTACACACGGATTGATTACCCCAAAAAATATGTATACTTTAGTTTTTGATAAAGTATCCAAATTATAATCACACGCTATGTTCCGATTTGCGTTTTTCTTAAATTTTCGATCGAGGATAATTTCATGAATAAATATTTATTAGAAATGAGAACCAGATAAAATCGTAGCACTTTATTTATTTGACTTCATTTATTGTTTTGATAACATTATGATAAGACTGTTAGGGTTTTGGGTAAAATATGATTAATTTTCACAACAACTAAGAAGGCACAATTTAACACGTAAGGTCACAAAATAAAAATGATTACATCATTATGATGAGAAAAAACTGTATTGAAAAAGGTAAATCGGAATTTACAAACCGTATAAATCGCTTATCCTACTTGAAAAACGATTTAAAATTTTGATACAATTAAGATAAATTTAAATTTAATAATAACATTATGTTAAAAAAAAACATTTCCATTGAGAAAAACGATTAAATGAAGCTATTACTTGAAAATCAATAGCTTTAAATGACTGTTTTATTACTTTCCTCAACATGGCAAAACTATATTGACTTTCAAAATCCTCAAATAATGTAAAATTATCTTTATCCCAAATAGTATTGTAACGATCTAACATGGACCACCGGTGTGAAAAATACGTTTTAGTGAACTTACCAGTAGTAAAGTTACTTTGGTCGAAAAAAAAATTATTCGAATTTATTTCCATTAGACGTGCCATAACGGTATTTTCAAGCTCTTTGTTTTTTTCCACATCGGCTAACATGGATTCTGAT